CTGCCGGGCCTCCGACGCCGCCGGATGCGCCCGGCCGGGGTGGTTTTCGTTGCTGCTGCTTTCAACGCAGTGAAAATCACTGTTGCTCTGGGACCCTCGACGTGCAGGCGGTGCCTGTCGCTGCTACCGTCAAAAGCGCGGGCAGGGCTGTGCCTCGTCTCCCCTGCGGTGACTTTCTCCTCATCGCTTCAGCTGATGTCCCTGCTCTTTTCCCTTTTTTCCTGTCTTTTTTTTAGAGCAGCTAGAACTTTGTGAGTCGTTTCCTCTGGGGACAGGGGCAGGTTGCAGTATTTACGTTTCCAGTATTAGCATTTATTTGTATTTGTGTTTGTTTTTCACGGGCTTTTGAATGCCTCAGGGAGCCGTTTATGGGGCCAAAATAATGCAAGTGCTGGTCTTCTCACAGTATTTCATTTCCTTGATGGTGGAAATACTACGAGAAGAGCAGGTCTCATGTTATTTTGACCCCATAAATAGCTCCCAGAGGCCCCTTTCTTCCTTCTCCCACCCACTCTCCCCCCCCCCCCCCCCCCCCCAAATCAAATATTTAGGTTTCTGCAAAGCCTGACTTCTCAACCCTGGTTATCTTGCTTCAGCAGAAGCAAATTGCAGTTATTACAAAATAGCCAGAGAGTCTATAAGGCAGAATGGGTTTTATATGATGCACAATTTGTTGGCTACTGTACAAGTTCATTAAAGTGTATCATAAGAGGTTGTTTTACTGGTACATTTAAGGAAGTTAATACATCTCGACAGTATATGCATGGGGGAATGCAGATACAATAACCCTCAGACAGGCTGGGGCCAAGTCCATTCCTGGCGTAACTCCACCGAAGCAAACGCAATCGCTTGCAGGATGGATTTGTCCTGCTCTATTTGAGAAGCGCTGAGCCGGTGATCCCATGCAGCCGCCGCCATGCGACGGCCCACGCTGCCTTGTCTCTCGCGGCTGGATCCTTTCTTGTGCTTGCATTTTTTATTTTGAAGTTTCTCCCCAGAGCGTAGGACATTGGTGGTCTAACTGTTGTGTGGCACGTTCTTATTAGGCCTGGGAGCTGTTTCACCTTTCAAGTGTGTAGGGTAAGGTTGTTTCTAAGGGGTCTGCTGCTGTTGTCCCAGCAATAGCCTGCATTGCCCCTTTCTTGGAGTTTGCTTCCGCTCAGCTGCGGGGGCAGGTTGGGCACTTGTCGGGCCTATCCAGGACTTGGGTCTGTCAGAAATCTGCCCCCGGCTTGATGCTTTTGGGCACTTGCCTCTGAAATGCCCTCGATCTGTGGGGAAGGTCTGAAGCAAAGGGCAATAGTTTGTACTGGATTTTTTTTTTAAAATGCATATTTTTAATTAATGAAATAACTGGATGAACTGGACTAATCTGGGGAATCCAGGAAAGTGCTGAACGTGGTGCTCTAATGTAAAAGGGGTCATACTTGCAGTGCCAGTAGTCTCTGGAGACCGTGTAATGCCTAATTCGGCGGCGGCCGCTGCAGAGCGACCCAGCTGTGCGGAGCAGGAGCCGGGGCCGGGGAGGGCAAGAGCCTCATTTCCTCCCTGCAGCCCTCTTCTAACGCCGCCTTCAGGAGTTTTACAATGGCTTCTTAGGTATCCAACTACGTTGCTCTTCTGCCGTGTTGCGTAATTAGTTCCAGAACGAGCGTATTCTCGGTGCTGAGCCGCTTGCGAGCCCCGAGATGCGTTTGTCAGGAGGAACGTGTGCGTTCGCCGTCCGCGGAGCCGGGGATGGCAGCTCGCAGATGCGGCCGGCTGCCCGGGCTTTACACCGCCCCCGCCGGAGCAGGCAGCGGGCTCTCCGCCGGCCGGGGGGGACCCCGCCAC